TGGGAAGTTTCTATAACACACCTTTTGTCCTTTCTATTCTCAGTATTGTCAGGGTGTGCATATTAAATAAATAACACTAACACTATAGATAAAATAGGAACACAATGTACTGCCCCAAATGGTAAAACAATAAAAAATAAAAACAAAAATAACAAAAGAAAAGGACAGAATTAGCTACCCCAGCAGCTGTACAATGCACATTATCTTCCATCAGCTGGATGGGATGGTACAAGTCTGTACTCCAGTTCCGGTAGAGTTAAAGGCTGGTGAATTAAGAGCTCAAGAGGCTGCACTGAGCTGCACTGGACTAAGTTTGGCATCAGTGTGGTCATCCTTGGGGATGATGATGATCATCAGGTGGCCTAAAAAAACCAGCCCAGGTTGGAGACAGAACAGTTAAAAACTCACTTGCCAATAGCTTAATGTATTTTTGCATTTGCTGTTAACTTATTTTTTTAGATTTGTTTATTCTGCCTTTATTATTTTTATATAATTCAAGATGGCGAACATACCTAAAACTCCTTCCTCCTCCTCCTGTTTTCCCCACAACAACAACCCTGTGAGGTGAGTTGGGCTGAGGGAGAGTGACTGGCCCAAAGTCATCCAGCCGACTTTTGTGCCTAAGGCAGGACTAGAGCTCACAGTCTCCTGCTTTCTAGCCTGGAGCCTTAACCACTAGACCAAACTGGCTCTTTGACTTGACTTTGATGTGAATGCAACTTGATAGTATTAATAAAGTTAGGAAGGAAGAATGATGGAATATTTTGGCTGCAGTTCACCACTGATTAAATCAGTGTACTTGGTGCCAGGCGAGTAGATTTTGTCATAGAAAACAACTTGGAGAAGCTGGCTAGTAGTGTTTAGCACAAAGCCTGTTCATGGTGGTGAGAGCGCAGTGCCACAACACATACTGTGGTGACAGTATGGCAACTCTGTTATTCAATCAATATACATGCAATAATGATGTAAGGAGAATCCAGTTGTAGGGTGTTTTATATAGTAACCCCCCTGCCCCATTGTTTAGTTGGCTGCTGTCAGCTAAAATGCATAAAATGTGTATGGTCCATTAATGGTAGGCAATATACACTAGTGAAGTGTAGAACAGTGTAGAGTTGCAGGAGGAAGCAGGAAGGACACAAGTCTTACTTACAGTTGGCTGAAAGGAGAGCCTTAGGAGAATGCAAGAGTAGGGATAAACCTAAATACACTCATGTAAAAGATATAGTATCCTTCAAGGGAAATAATCCAACCTAACTCTCTGGACCCTGATACATATATTGGAACACTTTGCCTTGAATCCTGGACCACACTTTCCAATTGCTACAGGTGTTTTATTTTTGTTGTTTGAACTGTCCTTTTTGTCTTTGCCTCCCTAGTTTTGTACAAGACTTAAGGCAAGACAGAGAAGCAATCAGGGGTGTCCTGGGGGGGGGGGGGAAGCAAAACAAATTAAGATGGCAACTGCAACTGCACAATCAAAGCCCTGCCCCCTTTGTAAATGCAGCAGATGTAAAAAGAAGGCAGGACTGTGATCATGTGGTATGGCTGGCATCTTAACTTTTTTGACTACCTAAGTAGTTAAACCTGATAGTAATCCAGACATAAGGTGATTGATTGAAAAACCAGGTAGTGGAGATGGCTCTACTGTCCAACGATTTAGTTTTTTTCTCAAAACCTGTCTTGAATGTAAACTTTAAGAATCAGTGCTTCATTGAAACCATCTTAATCTTGTGCTCTGTAGTCTTCAGTTGTTGGAGTCATGGATGATTTCAGATTGATGTGAAACATCTTGTAAAAACATGTGACAAATGAAAACAATTTAAAAATGGAAGGAAGAAAAAAACCAGACTACGAAACATGAGCATTCTTCTAGCTTCCTGTAATTTTCTCATCAATGTGGAAATTTTCAATTGTTTGTTTTAGAATGTCTTCATGCACTTATTTTGCTGCAGTGTGATACTTCCTGCCTTGAAGAATTTGGCCTAGATAACTATTAAACCTGTATTCAGAAAGGTTTAGTTCAAATAGTTCTGATTTCCTGCTTGATGATAATGATATCTTATTCAAGCTATGTCATTCATTGCCCTTGTCCAGGTGTAATACTATCTTTGCTTTTATTTATTCCTGTGATTATTTAAGATTATAACAATTCTTACATTAAAGAAAAATCTGAAAATATGAAATATGTTTTGGGGCTTAGTTTGTTTATTTAAACTAAAGTTTAATGTTTTTGTAGATACCAAAAACAAATGGAAAAGTTACATAACATCTCTTCATTCTTTTTTTGCTAGTGCTGTTGAAGCTGATATGCTTCACAACATTATTTTCCCACTGTACTTCTTTATATAAGGAATAATGTTAACAACTATTCATTAAATATATCAGAAATTCAGAGTTTCTAACACTAGATGGATCTCGCCAGGTCAGGGGTGTGCAGCTTTTCTAAGCCTGATGAGAACTTGGCCCATACTTCCCAAAATGTGATTACTCCCAAGTATTTAATCATTTCCCCCTTCCATCACATAAACCAGTTTATAATTCAGATTATAATTATAATTTAGCCCCTCCAGATATTGAAGGGCTCTGGGACCACAACCAGGTTACATCTGAAAAATCTTTCTCATTATGCCTTTGCTGCAGTCCTTCAGCCACTGGTGCTCATGGGATATATTAAGGGTAAACTGAGCAAGGCTTTAGATGCACGTCCATATGCATGTTGACAAGAAATAAAACATTTACTAGCCCTAGAACTGGTATATTAATTTCCTTTTTTAGCCTGACAAGAGTCCAACAGAGTTTGGGATCCATTGGTTTCTCTGCTATGTTTTTTTTTTTTCCTGCTGGCTGCATAGGATAATACTATACAATGTAGTTTATAACATAAAAGTGCATTTGAGTACTTTAAAATAGGAACTGGTTTTACTTGTTCTACAGCTGTCTGTAGACCAAAGAAAATAATTGTATTGAAAATAGGTATTATAAACAAAATTTACAAACTTGGCATAAACCAGTAGCCTCAGAGGTAATGGGACCTCTTCTTTCCCTTTTCATGGGGCTGATGACTGAGTTCATGGGTGACACAACCTTGAGGATCCGTGACTGATACTATTCAATGCAATGCAATGAAGGAGAAAAAAAGCAGTCCTCTCCCCTCTCCAAAAAAACCAAAAAAACCCACAACCAAAGACAACATTTGGCAGCTCCATCCTCTAAAAAATCTCAAAGGCAAAGTGGCACAACTGAGTGTATTAAAAATTACTATCATAGAGTTCTGGATGAAATACATTAAAATTATTACATTCATTCAAATGATCAAAGAATAATAGCTTTTCTGAATTGATAGGATGTTTTATTTCATTTGTCTTTCATGTGACAGCTTATATTAGCAGAAGCACCTTCAATAGAAAATTATGACATTCAAGCCCTTTTCTTTAGATTTTAGACAGTTCTGGACATTTATTCTCAGTACCCTGAGAATGCCTGAGAGGTTGTGAAGAGGACTTATTTTTGAAGAATACATTTTGAAGAATACATTTGAAGAATAGGCATTTAGAGAAAGATGCATATAATAATTATTGACTGATAAATAGTCAAGCATTTATGTTAAACATCTAATCCCTTTTTTTTTGGTGAGGGTTGTATAAGGAGATTAGTTTTGCAATGCAATAGGTGGATGTCATAGGGAATATTATGGAAAGGTTATCGTGTAAGTGTTTGAGCCAAGATGTCAATCACTGAAATGAGTTTCTACTGGGATATAGTTGCGCGCGCGCGCGCACACACACACACACACACACAAACTTAATGGTACCTTTACTCATATTGACTGCAGAGTTCTTCCAGGACTTACTCAGAAAATTGCTACTTCTTTTATAGTACTATATAGTAGTGAATATACCAATGCTTTCTACCAACATTTTGAAAAATTTGTATTTATACCAAGCTATTACACTATCTGATGCATCATAATACTTTATGATTAATTACATAAGTCTAATTTACACATGGATTTACATTACTTTATTTCTTTGCAATTCATGAATATATAAAATGATTCCCTTAAGTCATTACATTAAGGTAATATGAAAGTTCTGTCTTTGGACCATTAGTCATCAATTTATGTTACAGTCTACATTCACGTGTGAATCAGACCATGAATAGGAGTATACAGTCTACAATCACAGAGTCCCTTTCTACTCACAAGAGCTGCACCAATCTGAGATCGACATTGTACCCCTCTGTCCCAATGATGCAATTAGGTTTCTGTAGATTTTTGAAGGCTGAACCAAGTGACTTCAAAAATTAATCAGAACACCTCCTGTTCCTGAAGAAATGCAAAAATATTTTTGCAGTCTTTTCTCTGAAGCGGTGGAATAGGCGGCTACCCAGAGGGTGCATGTTTTATTTCATCCCACCTCTCAGCACCTAGGACTTTCACCCTCTCTCCAGAAGACATTGACATTGGTGCTTTCTCTTGCACGATAGCTATTTCTGGTGGTTTTGCATTAGCTTAGGGGGAACTAGACAGTACATGAACATAACGGGCCAACATAGAGTATCTTTCAAACATGAGATATGGCTCAGTTCATACACAAAAGCAACTGGATGAGGCACCATTTGAAATCTAACTGTATGGGGAGAAAACTCCATGCTGCAAATTGTTTAAGTAATATTATGTCCTGTATTGCTAATGTAATTCATCTTTTTTCACAGTATGTTTTTCTATAGACAACATTTATGAAATTGCATTGATAACCACTCATATAAAAACAACTTTCTGATATTGCCTCAGATGATTGCCTTTCAAACAGTTTTACATAGCTAAGATAAAGCAAATATGAGTCTAGAAAACAGCAAGTGTCTGCGTAATGTGGTAACAGCTAGGTAGTATTACCAAGTTCTAGGTCTGTAATAGTTTCTAATAAATTGGGATGGAGGGCAGGATTGGATTGTTTATAACAATGGGATTTATTTTTTCAATTTCTGTGCTTTCTTTTTAGGATCATTCAGACAATCCATTGGGGGCAGCAGTAACTCTGGCTCATGAACTAGGCCACAATTTTGGTATGAACCATGATACACTGGAAAGAGGTTGCAACTGCAAAACATCTGCAGACAAAGGGGGTTGCATTATGAACCCTTCAACTGGGTAAGTGCAAGTTATATTTGAAAAGATATCTGCCTGTTAGAGTTGCTTTGCTTTTAGTCCAGACAAATACCTCCAGAAACTTCGCAAGCAGAAGAGTACATCCTGTTTATACCAATTACACCTTAATGCAAATACTCCTCCATAATTTGTTAAAATAAAAACATTCTAAATTTTCAATTCTTGAAGAAAAAATATCTTAGTCACTTGAAGATGACAGTAAAGATCCTTCCCATCCACCCAGTCACCTGCATTATTAAAGGAACACGTGTGCAAAGCTATTAAGTTGTAATATCTTTCTATCCTCCTGGTGTAAAATGGAGAAAAACAAGATCATAAGACAGAAAACCTAGCAAGTGAAGAGAAGCCAAATATGACTGAATATTTTTGCAGAGCTTCTTTATACACCTGGTTTCTGAAACATCTGATCTGCTTTCTTCTATCTCAGCTAACTGAAGTTTTTAAAGAACTCCTTTAGTCCAAAAATTCAATTACTGCCCTACCTGTACTTCAGTCCAAGCCATCTTTCACACTCAAGAGAGTAATGAGTTCAATTTATATGTGATTTGCTGGGTGGAGTAAACATTGGAAAGAGTTGCTGTAGCATCCCAGTCATGAAAGGAAACTTCCTTCAATTTCTTACAAGTTTAGCTTTTCTAGTTTGAGATAATGTTTCTCAGGCTGTCTATTAACTGTAAGAATTTTAGGAATGTGCATAAACCAGCTCCCCCCCCCCCCTTCCGATGCCCCAAAGAGCCTTGGACCTCCATTTTGAATGATTTCACGGCCGA